AGATGTTGAGTCAGTGAGTTACGAACTCCTCGGTACTGATGATAGGTGTTGAGTCAGTGAGTACAACTCCTCGGTACTGATGATAGATGTTGAGTCAGTGAGTTACAACTCCTCTGATGATAGATGTTACTGATGATAGATGTTGAGTCAGTGACTCCTCGTTACTGATACAGTGAGAACTCCTCGGTACTGATGATAGATGTTGAGTCAGTGAGTTACGAACTCCTCGGTACTGATGATAGATGTTGTTGAGAACTCCTCGTTACTGATGATAGGTGTTGAGTCAGTGAGTTACGAACTCCTCGGTACTGATGATAGGTGTTGAGTCAGTGAGTTACGAACTCCTCGGTACTGATGATAGATGTTGAGTCAGTGAGATACACACTCCTCGGTACTTATGATAGATGTTGAGTCAGTGAGTTACACACTCCTCGGTACTGATGATAGGTGTTGAGTCAGTGAGTTACGAACTCCTCGGTACTGATGATAGGTGTTGAGTCAGTGAGTTGAACTCCTGTACTGATGATAGGTGTTGAGTCAGTGAGTTACGAACTCCTCAGTGAGTACTGATGATAGATGTTGAGTCAGTGAGTTACGAACTCCTCGGTACTGATGATAGATGTTGAGTCAGTGAGTTACGAACTCCTCGGTACTGATGATAGGTGTTGAGTCAGTGAGTTACGAACTCCTCGGTACTGATGATAGGTGTTGAGTCAGTGAGTTACGAACTCCTCGTTACTGATGAATGGTGTTGAGTCAGTGAGTTACGAACTCCTCGGTACTGATGATAGATGTTGAGTCAGTGAGTTACGAACTCCTCGGTACTGATGATAGGTGTTGAGTCAGTGAGTTACGAACTCCTCGGTACTGATGATAGGTGTTGAGTCAGTGAGTTACGAACTCCTCGGTACTGATGATAGGTGTTGAGTCAGTGAGTTACGAACTCCTCGGTTGAGTCAGTGAGATCGGTACTGATGATAGGTGTTGAGTCAGTGAGTTACGAACTCCTCGGTACTGATGATGTTGAGTCAGTGAGTTACGAACTCCTGTACTGATGATAGTGTTGAGTGAGTTACGAACTCCTCGGTACTGATGATAGCTGTTGAGAAAGGGACTTACCAACACAACCTTACTGTAGTGAGGTGATGAGTCAGTGAGTTACGAACTCCTCGGTACTGATGATAGTGTTGTGTTGAGTCAGTGAGATAGATGTTGAGTCAACTCACTCGGTACTGATGATAGATGTTGAGTCAGTGAGAGAACTCCTCGGTACTGATGATAGATGTTGAGTCAGTGAGTTACGAACTCCTCGGTAATTGATGATAGATGTTGAGTCAGTGAGTTACGAACTCCTCGGTACTGATGATAGATGTTGAGTCAGTGAGTTACGAACTCCTCGGTACTGATGATAGGTGTTGAGTCAGTGAGTTACGAACTCCTCGGTACTGATGATAGGTGTTGAGTCAGTGAGTTACGAACTCCTCGGTACTGATGATAGGTGTTGAGTCAGTGAGTTACGAACTCCTCGGTACTGATGATAGATGTTGAGTCAGTGAGTTACGAACTCCTCGGTACTGATGATAGATGTTGAGTCAGTGAGTTACGAACTCCTCGGTACTGATGATAGATGTTGAGTCAGTGAGTTACGAACTCCTCGGTACTGATGATAGATGTTGAGTCAGTGAGATACACACTCCTCGGTACTTATGATAGATGCTGAGTCAGTGAGTTACACACTCCTCGGTACTGATGATAGGCTCCTCAGTACTGATGATAGGTGTTGAGTCAGTGAGTTACGAACTCCTCGGTACTGATGATAGATGTTGAGTCAGTGAGATACACACTCCTCGGTACTTATGATAGATGCTGAGTCAGTGAGTTACGAACTCCTCGTTACTGATGATAGATGTTGAGTCAGTGAGTTACGAACTCCTCGGTACTGATGATAGGTGTTGAGTCAGTGAGTTACGAACTCCTCGGTACTGATGATAGATGTTGAGTCAGTGAGTTACGAACTCCTCGTTACTGATGAGAGATGTTAAGTCCTACGAACTCCTCGGTACTGATGATAGGTGAGTCAGTGAGTTACGAACAGTGAGTTGACACTCCTCGGTACTGATGATAGATGTTGAGTTGAGTTACGAACTCCTCGGTACTGATGATAGATGTTGAGTCAGTGAGTTACGAACTCCTCTACTGATGATAGTCAGTTGGTCAGTGAGTTGAACTCCTAGTACTGATGATAGGTGTTGAGTCAGTGAGTTACGAACTCCTCGGTACTGATGATAGGTGTTGAGTCAGTGAGTTACGAACTCCTCGGTACTGATGATAGATGTTGAGTCAGTGAGTTCTAAAAATAAAATACGGGCCAATCCAGTGTAACTATAAGCATTACAATCAGCCTCGATTTCATCATCTTTATCGCAGAAAGACGTTGGGTAGTTGTCGATAAAGTAATAATGACGAATACTTATGATCACCAGTTTCCGTTAACCTGGAGAAAGAATCGCCTCTAAAACAAGTGGGAGTGTAATGATGGATTATCAAACGTTTCAACAAGAGGTGTCAATCCCAGGCAGATCAGTGTTTCTCAGGAAGTGAATTCACAGATTGTCCCATACGGCTTTGACTATGTCATTGAACAAGACTCTTTCTTTGTCCATATTGTTTTGGATATAACGCGATGAACCTCCCGCATGTTGTTCGGCGATATAGTCACCATTTGCGACAAGGAAATCCCTCCTTATACGTAGAGTTTATAGCAATAAATCAATCAGCCGACAAACAAATGTTTTATACGATTATATATGTACCTCTATATTCTACGTACTGTACAAATGTATGTAAAATAGAAATTAACAAATATTCACCATAAATAGCATATATATTGTATTCTGATATCTATACTTTCTTCTTACTTTCAAACAAACTTATCAATAGCATATTGACCAACAAAATTGGTTTTATGTGGGAAATTAAAGGTATTTAGTTTTACGTGTGTCTTTAATACCCTTTCTGTTGTCTTTACTTAAACGCTGAAAGTGTTGTAGCTTGGTGTCAGTGGACCAGGAGAATAGTTTTTATCAGATTAAGGAATCGACGTTAAATGAAATGAACACCAATAAAATGTACCCTAGATAGTGTGTACATGTATTGTAAGGGAGACTGTAGCGTGCGATCTATATTGGGGCGTATTTACTCCAGAATTAATTACCATTGGGCGGATTAAAGTGAAGTACTACAAAGTATTGATTAGGTGTAGTGTGGCTCTGATAATATGTAAGTAAAATATGACCTAGGTATACCTACCCGTAATTACAGAGGTGGCCGTTATTTAAACCGACCCAGTCGATCTAAGTGTAGACCGTGATCACTACAGCTTAACTTTTGGCTTCTATACAACGTTACTTCATAAACCTGAGCAAGGAAACTGCAAATGTATATCTGAACTTCGGAGATATATCGTGTATAAAATTTACAAAGTAAACAAAAAAAGAGAGAGAGGGAAAAAAACCTCAAAAACCAATGGGTGAAATGTTTATGGATTTTACTGCTACGTTTAATGACGAGCAAACCAGGGGAAATCGTTTACTCTTCAACTTAACTGAGGTGTAAGATGGCGGAAACGGCTATTCCTAATAAGTAATCCTTTCCCAGGTGCGAAACACAGGTAAGTAAACTTTATATGATTGTTCATTATTATATTAATTATTATGTATTGTCTATGATATACATTACATGCAAAATGTTACAACAAAGTTTAATTTACTTTTTACACTCAAAAGAAACACATATGGATATTCTGCCTTGAGCAATGATGTCAATTACCTCATTCTGTACATTGAACCTTTACGTTGTAGCCATTGTTTTACCTACGTGTATATACAATCTATCTTTACATATCATCTATATTTCTCAGTGAATTAAGATAAAATCCACGTCATCAACCATCAACAGTGGAAAGATCCTTGATTATCTGTAAATTTGTTTTTTGTTTGTTTGTTTTTTTCTGTTGCGATAAAAAAGACATTCAGCGAAACCAGTGTTAGCATTGTATGCGTGTCGCGAATATCTGCAAACATTCCCTAAAGTTATTGCAACAAAAAATCAAAAGAAATTTAAAAAATACGTGTCAGATTTGTTTTCAGTTTCTTGTAACCTACATTATTAATGTCTCATTTTCCCGGATATTGACGTCAACAGGTGAAATTGGTGATATTCTTTTAGTCTATCTAATTCCATACAGATTACAAAGGTTCGCCAGACTGTCTAGTTAACAAATTCAACCTTATTACACAGATTCGTCAGATTGTCTAGTTTACAAATTCAACCTTATTACACAGATTCGTCAGATTGTCTAGTTTACACTGGTGTCTCTATTACACAGGTTCGTTAGACTGCCTAGTTTACACTGGTGTCTCTATTACACAGGTTTGATAGACTGTCTAGTTTTCAAAGGTTGAGAGTTTCACTAGACTTTCAGTTTGTACAGATTTACAGTATAGAAGCCAAGCTACATTTTGTCGCATTGACTGTTGATAACCAACCACTGAATTCATTTGCTGTGTTCGATCTACGTCTATTTAGATTACAGATATTATGTACATAAATATATTGTACATTTCTAAGCACAGATCCCGGTGTTAAATGTCTTTTTCATTCTGTTTTTCCGAAATAATTTAAATAACTTTTCAACAGACCATAGTTAAAACTTCACAATATAGACCACGGGACTCTCATATGCATTATCATCGAAATCAATACATAAGTGAAATACATTAATATCAAATGTCCAACCACACAGGGCCGCCTGGTAAATAACGGTTAATTACGAACAGTTAGCGACTCGTGGCTGGAACTCCAATGGTCTGTGGTATTATTACATATATAATTAACTGCACTGAACATAAAAAATATAGTCTCGGAATATAAATCTACACCAATGAATATCAATACGATTATATTCTATACAAAAGGAGTGACAATAAAAAGTGTGGAAATTATTTTCTGGACACGTAGGTAAATACAGTGTCGTGAGTTGCGTTTAGTATAGAAACCGACGGATTTCGACGCCTCTTCCCTTTTCCGACCTCCCCTTCCCTTCTCAGGCGTCCCCTCCCGTTTTCGGCGTCCCCTCCCCTTTTCCGGCCTCCCCTTCCCTCCCCTCCCCCTCCCCTTTTCTGGCCTCCCCTCCCCTTTTTGGCCTCCCCTCCCCCTCCCCTTTTCTGGCCTCCCCTGCCCTGCCATCCCCTCTCATCTTTCCCGGTCTCCTCTCCCCCTGCCCTTTTCTGGCCTCCCCTACCCTGCCATCCCATCTTCCCTTTCCCAGCCTCCCCTTTCACTCCCCTTTTTCGGCCTCCCTTCCCCCTCCTCTTTTCGGCCTCCCCTCCCCCTCCCCTTTTCTGGCCTCCCCTGCCCTGCCATCCCCTCTTCCCTTTCCCGGCCTCCCCTTTCATTCCCCTTTTTCGGCCTCCCCTCCCCTTCCCCTTTTTAGGCCCTCTCCCCTCATCCCTTTTTCTGGCCTCTTTCATGATTTATTCACTTTCTTTATCTCCTTTTATATTTTGTTAATTATAAAAAACTTTTAAACTCTTATACGGATAATATTCTGCACATAATCATGTCGCTGCACATTGTACAATTATTTCGTCGTTATAAGGTATCTTAACGGTAATGGAATACGCTGAACACAGTCAGTGAGTTTGAATTTGTCCATTATAACATGTGACAAGAATTAAATTTCACACAAATCGTTTACCTGTTGAATGACAATCTATAAATATATACATATAAGTACAATAATAAATATTGATCACAAACATCATTGTTGCCAATTAGGTTTCCGACACAAGACACTTGAGCCGGTAAGTGCCCATGCAAATACAACGTTTTGTATTCCTGTGTGAACGTTTACAATCTAGTTATCATAATAAAGAAGTGTTCCCATCAATCCTAAAATGACAGGGGAAGGCATGTGCCTTTACCATGGTTGGCAACAGTATTACCGCAGTCTCATTAAAATCGGAAATACTACCCGGTTATTTTTAATCACATTGGTTTTACTCTTAGGGTACCGGAGAAAATATTGATATTTTATAATATGTCATTTTTACATGAAAAAAAATCCAAATCAAAAACTAAAGTTTCTTCAAATGGTTTAAGTCTTTCACTGTAATTACTGACCGGGTCCTGGTCTAAATCTTACACTGTAATTACTGACCGGGTCCTGGTCTAAATCTTACACTGTAATTACTGACCGGGTCCTGGTCTAAATCTTACACTGTAATTACTGACCGGGTCCTGGTCTAAATCTTACACTGTAATTACTGACCGGGTCCTGGTCTGAATCTTACACTGTAATTACTGACCGGGTCCTGGTATAAATCTTACACTGTAATTACTGACCGGGTCCTGGTCTAAATCTTTCACTGTAATTACTAACCGGGTCCTGGTCTGAATCTTTCACTGTAATTACTAACCGGGTCCTGGTCTGAATCTTTCACTGTAATTACTAACCGGGTCCTGGTCTAAATCTTTCACTGTAATTACTGACCTTGTCCTGGTCTAAATCTTTCACTGTAATTACTGACCTTGTCCTGGTCTAAATCTTTCACTGTAATTACTGACCGGGTCCTGGTCTGAATCTTTCACTGTAATTACTGACCGGGTCCTGGTCTGAATCTTTCACTGTAATTACTGACCTTGTCCTGGTCTAAACATTTCACTGTAATTACTGACTGGGTCCTGGTCTGAATCTTTCACTGTAATTACTGACCGGGTCCTGGTCTACGCCATTCATTGTGATTACTGACCGGGTCCTGGTCTGAATCTTTCACTGTAATTACTGACCGGGTCCTGGTCTACGCCGTTCACTGTAATTACTGACCGGGTCCTGGTCTACGCCGTTCACTGTAATTACTGACCGGGTCCTGGTCTGAATCTTTCACTGTAATTACTGACCTTGTCCTGGTCTACGCCGTTCACTGTAATTACTGACCGGGTCCTGGTCTAAATCTTTCACTGTAATTACTGACCGGGTCCTGGTAAGTCGTTCACTGTAATTACTAACCGGGTCCTGGTCTAAGCCGTTTTCTGTAATTACTAACCGGGTCTTGGTCAAAGCTGTTTTCTGTAATTACTGACCGGCTCCTGGTCTAAATCTTCCACTGTAATTACTGACCGGGTCCTGGTCTAAATCTTCCACTGTAATTACTGACCGGGTCCTGGTCTAAATCTTCCACTGTAATTACTGACCGGTTTCCGATCCAAGTCACATTCTTTTATTACGTTTGTATCATGATGTTTCTTTAATTACTGGCGTAGTACCGGTTCGTGTTTCCTTTAATTACTGGCCTGGTACCACTTCGTGTTTCCTTTAATTACTGGCCTGGTACCGGTTCGTTTTTCCTTTAATTACTGACCTGGTACCGGTTCCTGTTTCCTTTAATTACTGGCCTGGTACCGGTTCATGATGTTTCCTTTAATTACTGGCCTGGTACCGGTTCGTGTTTCCTTTAATTACTGGCCTGGTACCGGTTCGTTTTTCCTTTAATTACTGACCTGGTACCGGTTCGTGTTTCCTTTAATTACTGGCCTGGTACCGGTTCCTGATGTTTCCTTTAATTACTGGCCTGGTACCGGTTCATGATGTTTCCTTTAATTACTGGCCTGGTACTGGTTCGTGTTTCCTTTAATTACTGACCTGGTACCGGTTCGTGTTTCCTTTAATTACTGGCCTGGTACCGGTTCGTGTTTCCTTTAATTACTGACCTGGTACCGGTTCGTGTTTCCTTTAATTACTGACCTGGTACCGGTTCCTGATGTTTCCTTTAATTACTGGCCTGGTACCGGTTCATGATGTTTCCTTTAATTACTGGCCTGGTACCGGTTCGTGTTTCCTTTAATTACTGGCCTGGTACCGGTTCGTGTTTCCTTTAAATACTGGCCTGATACCGGTTCGTGTTTCCTTTAATTACTGGCCTGGTACCGGTTCGTGTTTCCTTTAATTACTGACCTGGTACTGGTTCGTGTTTCCTTTAATTACTGACCTGGTACCGGTTCGTGTTTCCTTTAATTACTGACCTGGTACTGGTTCGTGTTTCCTTTAATTACTGACCTGGTACCGGCTCCTGATGTTTCCTTTAATTACTGGCCTGGTACTGGTTCGTGTTTCCTTTAATTAACCTGGTACTGTTCGTGTTTCCTTTAATTACTGGCCTGGTACCGGTTCGTGTTTCCTTTAATTACTGACCTGGTACCGGTTCGTGTTTCCTTTAATTACTGACCTGGTACCGGTTCCTGATGTTTCCTTTAATTACTGGCCTGGTACCGGTTCATGATGTTTCCTTTAATTACTGGCCTGGTACCGGTTCATGTTTCCTTTAATTACTGGCCTGGTACCTGTTCGTGTTTCCTTTAAATACTGGCCTGATACCGGTTCGTGTTTCCTTTAATTACTGGCCTGGTACCGGTTCGTGTTTCCTTTAATTACTGACCTGGTACTGGTTCGTGTTTCCTTTAATTACTGACCTGGTACCGGCTCCTGATGTTTCCTTTAATTACTGGCCTGGTACCGGTTCATGATGTTTCCTTTAATTACTGGCCTGGTACTGGTTCGTGTTTCCTTTAATTACTGGCCTGGTATCGGTTCCTGATGTTTCCTTTAATTACTGGCCTGGTACCGGTTCGTGTTTCCTTTAATTACTGGCCTGGTACTGGTTCATGTTTCCTTTAATTACTGGCCTGGTACCAGTTCGTGTTTCCTTTAATTACTGACCTGGTACCGGTTCGTGTTTCCTTTAATTACTGACCTGGTACTGGTTCGTGTTTCCTTTAATTACTGACCTGGTACCGGCTCCTGATGTTTCCTTTAATTACTGGCCTGGTACCGGTTCATGATGTTTCCTTTAATTACTGGCCTGGTACTGGTTCGTGTTTCCTTTAATTACTGGCCTGGTATCGGTTCCTGATGTTTCCTTTAATTACTGGCCTGGTACCGGTTCGTGTTTCCTTTAATTACTGGCCTGGTACTGGTTCGTGTTTCCTTTAATTACTGGCCTGGTACTGGTTCGTGTTTCCTTTAATTACTGGCCTGGTACCAGTTCGTGTTTCCTTTAATTACTGACCTGGTACCGGTTCGTGTTTCCTTTAATTACTGGCCTGGTACCGGTTCGTGTTTCCTTTAATTACTGGCCTGGTACTGGTTCGTGTTTCCTTTAATTACTGGCCTGGTACCGGTTCCTGATGTTTCCTTTAGTTACTGACCTGGTACCAGTTCGTGTTTCCTTTAATTACTGGCCTGGTACCGGTTCCTAATGTTTCCTTTAATTACTGACCTGGTACCGGTTCGTGTTTCCTTTAATTACTGGCCTGGTACCGGTTCGTGTTTCCTTTAATTACTGACCTGGTACCGGTTCGTGTTTCCTTTAATTACTGACCTGGTACCGGCTCCTGATGTTTCCTTTAATTACTGGCCTGGTACCGGTTCATGATGTTTCCTTTAATTACTGGCCTGGTACCGGTTCGTGTTTCCTTAATTACTGGCCTGGTACCGGTTCGTGTTTCCTTTAGATACTGGCCTGATACCGGTTCGTGTTTCCTTTAATTACTGGCCTGGTACCGGTTCGTGTTTCCTTTAATTACTGACCTGGTACCGGTTCGTGTTTCCTTTAATTACTGACCTGGTACCGGCTCCTGATGTTTCCTTTAATTACTGGCCTGGTACCGGTTCGTGTTTCCTTTAATTACTGACCTGGTACTGGTTCGTGTTTCCTTTAATTACTGACCTGGTACCGGTTCGTGTTTCCTTTAATTACTGACCTGGTACTGGTTCGTGTTTCCTTTAATTACTGACCTGGTACCGGCTCCTGATGTTTCCTTTAATTACTGGCCTGGTACTGGTTCGTGTTTCCTTTAATTACTGACCTGGTACCTGTTCGTGTTTCCTTTAATTACTGGCCTGGTACCGGTTCGTGTTTCCTTTAATTACTGACCTGGTACCGGTTCGTGTTTCCTTTAATTACTGACCTGGTACCAGTCCAGGGTATTTTTTTTTATTACATTGTATACTGACCGGGTATGGGTCAATGGCAATCGTTTCGTCAGATTTTTGAGCAAGCCATCTCGTTGCTATGTATTTTGCTGCAATAAATAAGTAAACTTTGCGTTAATATGCACAGAGTACATAATGAACAGGACAGAATACGTTGGAGTATCCGACAGGAAGACCAGTAAAGAAAGAATTAGTTCATGTATATAGTGTCACGTGGACAGCGTCCATCATGACAAATTATGTCGTTAAAAAGATTTATTTCATATTCGTTTTTTTCAGATACCCAAAATAATGAGTAAGCGGATGCCCGAGTGGTTTGAGGAGTACCGGAAGGTGAGCGACAAGCAAAGAAACTATTTAAACCAGATTCAGGACTTGCGGAGGACATTTAAGAGTAGTGTCAATCCATTGATGGTTTCTATAGAGCGCCAGCGACACTTGCGGGGGCGCAAGGTGGAGCCTAAAAATCCATCACTTCGCAAAATGGAACAAAAAGTTATCCTATTCGGACCCCAGAAATTTCCATCTAGACAAAGTTTTCTACAAGAAAAACCGCACAAATTTTACATGACTCCGACAATACTTCCACGAAACCTGCCCCCGTTGGTCCGAACGAAGAATGTGGATCTAAATGGGGATGCGGTCCGGAAGGATGCTGACATGGAAACGATTGATGCTGTGGCAGAGACAAATCAAGGAATGATTCGGAGAAAAATGTCGGATATTTCCGACCTCAACAAATCTCACTCACCCCGGAAAGTGCTTTCCATTAGTCGTGTGAATGTTAAAGAACTCATTTCCCCGATGGCAAGGGATTCTCCAATTGAATACATTACTAATGTGAGCTCGAGGAAGACTCTGATGTCAGGACCCACTAAGGCGAAAGAGGGATAAACATCTGATATATAATGCCAGTCTTACTGTAAAGATGAACTACTGCTCTTAATAGAAAAAATGCCAGCACCAAGATAGGTTATATTACCACGATTGGATTAATGTAGGTTACTTTACCACGATTGTGTTGATAATGTAGTGCAAAACGACCTCCTTTCAGTGTCACATTGGACACATTTAACTGGGTCGTTAATTTGTTAAGATAAGCTTTTCGATAGTACTTGTGATGCAGAGCTTGTTTTAGAAATATTGTAACAAAGCGATATACAATGTAATTTTTACAAGTGTTTCACTGTAAGGAGAATAGAATGACGTGTTTCCCGATTGGAAACTAGTTAGGTAATGTTTTTTTTTTTTTTTGTTGAAATGAGAAACCATGTTTTCTATCATAATATTGATTTGATTATGCAGTGTTTCTACATTCAAATTGAATTCAATGTAAGAAAGACCATTTTAAGCTACATCAGTTATTAATTGAACTCAGTGTCAGTGCCCTAAAGAGTAAAAGTTATGGCAAGCAAACTTAAGATCTATTCTAAATGTAATGTCGATCTTGTCTTTCACCAAATTCTATAACACACATTTTTGTACATCAATCAGTTGTGGGATCGCACAATGTTACACGATGTGCGATGTTTGCACGATGTTTGCACGATGGTCGCACGATGTATGCATGATGTGCGCACGATAGGAAAATTGGACGAAATATGCTATCACACAATAGTGCCGAGTTGTGAGATATCTCATTGAACAATTAGATAGAATATGTTTAAGTGGTACACAAGATATCTTATCTTTTTTTATATAAGAAATCTTATAAACTGTGTATCTATCGTATATGAGAAATATCTTGTATAATTGAAGCCTCGTTTTAAAATAGATATCCTACATAGGATGAGAGTTTGTGACATGGAAAAGGAAAGCTCAAGTCTCCCCGGGAATCGTTTGGAGCGCTTCGGAATATGCACTTGATGGAAAGGAACAAGCTGCTCAACGAGGTCAGGATATATTTCGAAAAAAAAAAGAAATTTGACAGTTTAACAACGTATCGTTCTGTTATAAAATATATTATTATAGGAAAATAGATATATCTTATATAACGTATAAGATATATTATGTAATATATGATATACTGTATAATACATGTATATAACATCTAATTTCTAAATAAAATATCCTATATATCACTTGAGACATCTTACATATCTAGATAAGATATCTGATATACTATGTATAATATTTTATGTTACTTAAGCAAAATATGAACAGTTATTGCTCCTTGAATAAATGATAAGTTTAACATGCCATAAAAGCTACTTTCTTATTGATCATAATGCATCGAGATGTTCTACCGACTTGAAACTAATTTCTCATCGTCATTTTCTCGTGGTAACGGTAATTTTAACTAATTCAGAAACACGAATGTCATTTCGCTTGTTGACCAATCAGTATTATTCCTTACGTGAAATGTAAATATTTATCATACAAACGAACAAAGTGATGTAATGTTGCATGTACTTCTGTTGTATGTATTTGTATAAAATAGATGTGCTTTTCGCCTTGATATTCTGTAAATAAAACGAAAAATGATGTAAATATACAGATATCTTTTTATTCATTCAAGCTTGGTTTAATTCATGGTATGGCGCTTCTGTATCTAACTCTAACTGTACAATGTAAAAGTACTATTCACTTGCGTGCCTTTTGTGATCGCGGGCAAAACTAAAAGCAGACAAGTTGTTTATCGACGGGAGTTTATATCATTCACCTCAACAGAAACACGTTGCTACAGCTTTATTTGATGTACGCCGTGATGGCCACCGCCCTTCCGGTTCCGGTCGAGATAGAAGATGGCAACCACGTGGGTATGTTGATCGTCACTCGATCCAACAGTACAGCAATTGGGACATGGAAAGAGGTCTATCGGAACTTAAATAAGGACTTTGTGAGTAACACGACAGGAACTGATATTGCAAAACCACTTAAACTTTCATTTCTGAACATTTATGATATCAAATCAAAATTCTGTTTACATTAATTTGCATTATTGATCAATTCATATGATGAATTAGTTTTTGATGAAAGTAAAATGGACGGTTTTGATGTGCTACAGTTACCGAATGGGTACGCATATTTCTGCAAAAACAAAGATCTAAAGAAGTGAAGAAGAAATCTGGTGAGTTTTTTTCATTGTATTTAAGGGAAAATTAAATAAACCGCGGTTAAATTTTCACAACACTCCTTCGAATGTTTTTCAGTAGACAGACAGTCCTATCTACATTTCATAACTTCCGAGTTACAGTCCCATTTACATTTTATAACGTCCGACTTACAGACATTCCTATCTACATTTCATAACGTCCGAGTTACAGACATTCCTATCTACATTTCATAACGTCCGAGTTACAGACATTCCTATTTACATTACAACTTCCGAATTACAGACAGTTCTATTTACATTTTATAACGTCCGAGTTACAGACAGTCCTATTTACATTTTATAACGTCCGAGTTACAGACAGTCCTATTTACATTTTATAACGTCCGAGTTACAGACATTCCTATCTACATTTTATAACGTCCGAGTTACAGACAGTCCTTTTACATTTTATAACGTCCGAGTTACAGACAGTCTTATTTACATTTTATAATATCCGAGTTACAGACAGTCCTATTTACATTTAATATCGTCCGTGTTACAGACAGTCCTATTTACATTTTATAACGTCCGAGTTACAGACAGTCCTTTTACATTTTATAACGTCCGAGTTACAGACAGTCCCATTTACATTTTATAACGTCCGAGTTACAGACAGTCCTATCTACATTTCATAACGTCCGAGTTACAGACAGTCCTATCTACATTTTATAACGTTCGTGTTACAGACAGTCCCATTTACATTTAATATCTTCCGAGTTACAGACAGTCTTATTTACATTTTAGAACGTCCGATTTACAGACAGTGCTATCTACATTTCATAACGTCCGAGTTACAGACAGTCCTATTTACATTTTATAATGTCCGAGTTACAGACAGTCCTATCTACATTTTATAACGTCCGATGTACAGTCCTATCTACATTTCATAACGTCCGAGTTACAGACAGTCCTATTTACATTTTATAACGTCCGAGTTACAGAAAGTGCTATTTACATTTTATAATGTCCGAGTTATAGACAGTCCTATTTACATTTTATAACGTCCGTGTTACAGAAAGTGCTATTTACATTTTACAACGTCCGATGTACAGTCCTATCTACATTTCATAACGTCCGAGTTACAGACAGTCTTATTTACATTTTATAATATCCGAGTTACAGACAGTCCTATTTACATTTAATATCGTCCGTGTTACAGACAGTCCTATTTACATTTTATAACGTCCGAGTTACAGACAGTCCTTTTACATTTTATAACGTCCGAGTTAAAGACAGTCCTATCTACATTTCATAACGTCCGTGTTACAGACAGTCCTATCTACATTTTATAACGTTCGTGTTACAGACAGTCCCATTTACATTTAATATCTTCCGAGTTACAGACAGTCTTATTTACATTTTAGAACGTCCGAGTTACAGACAGTCCTAATTACATTTTATAACGTCCGAGTTACAGACAGTCCTATTTACATTTTATAACGTCCGAGTTACAGACAGTCCTATCTACATTTCATAACGTCCGTGTTACAGACAGTCTTATTTACATTTTAGAACGTCCGAGTTACAGACAGTGCTATCTACATTTCATAACGTCCGAGTTACAGACAGTCCTAATTACATTTTATAACGTCCGAGTTACAGACAGTCCTAATTACATTTTATAACGTCCGAGTTACAGACGAGTGAAGTTTCCAAAGAGTTTAAATTCAGTGAGACGGTGAGGGATTGTTTCATGCACCAACTAATGAAGCAACCAACCCGCGGTAGAGGAACGGATAACCCGAGTGTTATAGATAGGATTTTAACGGATGCAGATGATTGTATTGAATCTGTACAGACTAATCCTCCTCTCGGCAAAAGTGACCATTTAGTCATTGATATATTCTGTAATTTTATTATTGAAAGAAGGAACTCTAGAAAATTAAGATATTTATACGATAAAGGTAATTTCCGAGGTCTTTCTCAAAATTTAAATAAAAATTGGCAAGATCGTTTGTCACAATGGAAGGATAACGTAGAAATTCCAACACAAAAGTCAACACAAATGAGAAATTCAAACAACAAAATTAGTCTTAATAAAACACTTTATCAAAAATAAAAAGAAAAGAGAAACTATGGAAGAATTAACGGAACACCAGGGATTATGAAGTATACACGGAGTATTGTTGACCAAGGACAAGTAAGGGTCTTAAAGAGGAATGCAGTAAAATAACACGAGAGGCAGATAGCACAACAAGTGAAAGAGAAACCTAAACAGTTCTGGAGATACGCAAAATCTAAAGCATCGACGAAATCTAACATTTCAAATTTGTACACAGATACAAACTAGGAGGATATCACTGCAACTGATCTTGAAAAAGCCAACGTCCTCGGAGATTTTTTCCAAACAGTATTTACGGATAGCAGCGATCGAACAATGCCAGGTGTAGAATTGATTGCTGTGGAATCAATAACAAGACTACAGATTACACCGGAAAGTGTCAAAAAGAGACTGATGAAATTAAAAATTTCAAAATGTCCAGAATCGGATATAATCCACCCTAGAGTGCTTGAAGAAACTTGTGCCATGACACGATATACCATCTGTTATTCATAATTCAAACATCAATAGATACCTTAAAATTACACGAGGACTGGAAATGCGCAAATGTAACGGCAATATTTAAAAAGGGTGACCGAAAAGAAGCCTCGAATTACAGTTTAACATGTGTTGTCTGTAAGATATTGGAGTCTTTAATTAGGGATGAAATTATGAGACACATGCGGAAAAATACGTTATTCAGTAAAGCTCAGTTTGGCTTCATAGACGGCGGATCAACGGTACTCCAGCTTCTGAATG